AAAGTAGTAATAGGTTTTATCCTTTTATCTGGCACCAAAACTGACACCTTTATACAAGGGATCATGTTTGCAATAACCACAACACAAGCAGTCAAAATGCAAACAAAAAGAGACAACTCTGATAATGATATGCACTGTCCTTGAAATTGATTGGTCCAACATGATCCCTTGTATAAAGGTGTTAGTTTTGGTGCCAGATAAAAGGGTAAAAACCTATTACTATATCTTGCTACTGGCAAAGGAAGTATTATAGTGTAAATGCTTACCCCGAGCTCTCAATACTCTGATAGTGTGCTGTTTTTGAGTTGTACGCCTTTTGGCACCCGAATGGGCTCCCCCCTATCTCCAGTTGTAGCCAACGTGTTCATGGAAAAATTTGAAACTGACGCCATCCAGACTGCCACTCTACGCCCGATCTTATGGAAGAGGTACGTAGATGACACCTTAGTTATCTGGCCACATGGCTTACCTGCTCTAGACCAATTCCTCGACCACATCAACTCCATACACCCAGCCATCAGATTTACCATGGAGGTCGAAAAAGAAGGCAAGCTACCCTTTTTGGATGTCTTAATTAAAAGGAGACCTGATGGTTCAATGAGCCACTCGGTCTACAGGAAAACGACCCATACGGATGCTTACTTAAAACCGGATTCCCACCACCATCCATCCCAGAAGAACTCCCTCATCAAGACTCTATACTATAGGGACCGATGCATTTCCGACCAGGATCACATTGCCAGTGAACTCAAACACGTACACCAAGCCCTCAAGGCTAATGGTTACTCCGACTACACAATCCGCAAAGCCATCACTCCAGTCATGAAGAAGGATCCCCTTGAGGAACCATTCAAAACCATCACCTTACCCTACATTGCGGGGGTCACAAAAAAGATCTCCAAAATCCTGAACAAACACAAGATCCAGGTCCTCATTCAACACAGTACATACAATCCGTGATCTGGTTCCATCTGTAAAAGATGCTGTTCCAGACATACAGTACCCGGGCGTTTACAAACTAAAGTGCCTATGTGGTAGCAGCTACATTGGAGAAACCAAACGACATATCTCGGACCGCATCCGCGAACATAAAGCAGACTTGAAACACGGTAGAACGAACTCCTCTGCCATGGCAGATCACTGTTATAATTCAGTGGGCTCACATGACATTGACTTCTCCAAGACTGAGGTTCTTTGCAAGCCAACCGGCTACCATGATAGATTCGTTCATGAGGCCATCCACATATACAAGCCCACAGACAATTTCAACCGAGAAGATGGATTCTGGCTTAGTAACCATTGGAAAGATGTTTCAAACCATTTACGTTCTTAATTAATTGTATTTTACGGTGACCTTCAGACCGCAACTCTTTCGCTGGCATTGCCTCTTAATACCTCTCACACCACGGTTAATGGTATGGTTCATAACATGGAGTATAACAGCGCATAGTGGCTGTTTCTCCCCCCTCCTCCGTTCCAAGCATAGATGGACTCGTCCGTCTGAACAAAGCTCGTCGTTGTCCGTGGTGCTAACGTTGAAAATAAAAAAAATAAAAAACCGCCACCCATTTTTTCGCCATATGGCATTGTAATGTATAACGACTTTTTGTTAGTAGCTCAGCTGATGGGGGAGTATATAGAGTTTATTGATAACATTGATGTAGTTTATATTTTAGTTTTTTATTAGTTTACTATATGGTATTCAATATATAGTGTAGTGTATACCCAGTTACTTTATGTTAATAGCTCAACTTATTGAAGAATATATTCAGTACATTTATTATATTAATGTAGTTTATACTTAGTTTTTTCTAATCGGTTTATTGTATGATAGTTGGGTAGTTGCAGTCCTTTAGCGTCCATATACTAAATGCCTCTGTTGATATGTAAACTTTGACTTTAACATAGCTATTTCCGTGACCAGTCACATGCTAATCCCTCACATTAACATCATGCTAATCTCCCAGTTACATGCTAATTTCTGACTTTAGCACCCTGCTGATCCAACACTTTAACACAGCTATTTAAATGCTAAATTCTCCTGTTTGATATGTAAACTCCTTTGTCAAGGCGCGTTACTTCTCCCACCTAGCTTAAAAGACGCTGCGAATCTTAGCAGCGTTCATTGAAGCGCTGTCGTCCCGACAGTTCTGTTCCTTCACCTGAAGAAGGCTACTTGTGTTGTGGCCGAAACGTCGTGAGAATTTTATTGTCTTATTTTGTTTTATTGTTTTATTCTCATTCTACGTGACTTTACCGAAAGAACCAAGAATATGAATCCTTGCAGTCACGAAAGCTTTAAATCGAAATCTAGTGGTGTGTTGATGTGACAAACATAGTGAAACATTACGACATCTTGTGAGAATTTAAAGATATGTTTTGTTTCTAATGAATGTTGAGTGATCACTGTAGATTATATTTGTCCACAAATTCATCTTAGAGACCAATTGATTGCACACACAATGTTGGGCGCTGTATAAATGAGTTATCAAAATGTTTGTCCACGGATAAAACATGCGTACCGTCTTATTGAAGGTGAGTGTTTTTCAGAGACTATTGTGATCGCTATAAAGTGTAAGCTAATGACAGGCGATCAAGGGCAGACAGCAGGAGAGCAATCTCTCTGCCCTTGCTATTCTGCCATTAGTCAAGGGCAGGGAGCTTGTTGTGTCACAAAGCACGAACAGCGACAATGTTTTTAATTAAAGGTTTGGCAGATGCAAAACACCCTGTCTGCGTATTAACCATGAATAGTATTGAACAGGAACGCAAAGATATTTCACATGTAATTTAGGATGTTGTCATGCATGACTCAATGCTACACCATATTGTTATTTGTGATTTTGATGCAGAATGGCTAGAGGCTTGTCTTTCAGTTTGTAACCAACACAAAATATTTCACACAATGAACAATTGCAAATCGACGGGGGTACTTGATTCCATGAAACAACACCATCACACACTTTAGAAATTTCTGCAAAATCCAGTTATGAAATTACTTCGATTTTTTTTACCATCGACTGTTGTATTTCTCACAACCATGATAACATTGGATGTACATTAGCTTCTGCGAAATTGTCCAAAGCTATTTGACATTTATAAACTTGCATTCACATGACAGCATATATATTTTTACATATACATGAATGCAATTGTTTGAATGTAATTGTGTGATCGTGGTCAACTGTACTAAGTATTTAGATACAACACGTTTTAAAATGCAGCAGAAAATATATTTCTGTACAATAAGAACTTGGGAACTGTTATATCTCATAATTCCAGTCTAGTTGTGATACAGCAAACATGTTACAACGTAACCATGAGCCATAAGGTAACGTCGATCAGAGCCATGGTCCGATTGTATATGCAGTTTAAAATGACTTGGAGTGTGCGTAGACGTAATGACTCCAAAAATAAAATTCTGAACTACCTACATCAGATAAGAATAGGTTTTCCCCTTTTTTCTGGCAACAAAACAGGTGTTAAGATGTTAAAACACCAAACTGAAACATTTTACAAGGAATCATGTCTGCATTAACCACAGATACTTGCGGTCAGAATGCAAACAAAATCATACTCTGATAATATATGCATTGTCTTTGAAACTGATTGGTCCACACCAGAGACAGCTTTCTTTCGACCAGAGGACGCCAAAAGGCGAACAGCACAAACACAATGCACTATCAGGACAATGAGAGCTCGGGTTGAGCAGCTACATCATGGGACCTCCTTTGCCAGTCTGAAAATATAAGAATAGGTTACCATCTGGCCCTAACAGTCTTGGGTCTTTCGGTAAATTCACGTAGATAGGTTCAATGAAAATAACGAAAATAACAAAAATAACAAAAAACTACGACGTTTCGATTTTCTTTGAACGTATCTACGTGACTTTACCGAAAGACCCAAGAATATGAATTCCTGCAGTCACGAAAGCTTTACGTCAAGGGTTTCCCCTTTTTCTGGCAACAAAGCAGGTGTTAAGATGTTAAAACACCAAAAGGTTTCAGTTTGGTGTTTTAACATCTTAACACCTGTTTTGTTGCCAGAAAAAAGAGAAAGACCTCTTCTTATATATTCAGACTGGCAATGGAGGTCCCATGATGTACCTACATCAGAGCTTTAAAAATTACATTCGTAAACAGTTCGAACAGATGTCAAGTCCATTAATACAGATGTATACACTCATTGTGATGAATATGGTGACAGGGTCACAATAAAAAAAAATCTGAGATAGGGCGAATACAAAAAAATCCAAATCAATTTTATGAGGAATGTACCCATTACCATCTGGCCCTAACAGTCAACAATTTGCTCCACCTTGGCAACTTGTAAAATCTTTAGCTCGAACATCCGATCATTTACTGCAAGGTGACGCAAGGGGGGTTTTAAAAAAAATGCACGGGGAAACTGATCATCCACCTTCCAGCACTTTAGGTCCTCGCACGCAGGCTTGTGGTGGCGACTTGCAAGGCGCACGCACGCGGGCGGCATGCTAATTCCCAATAACCTACACCCATCAATCCAACCTTCACCGCTCACCGCACCGCGAAACTCGCCGCCGCAGCCTCTCGCAACTGCATGGGCGTCTGCGCACGGCGACGCAACGAGCCTGCGCGCTTAAACCCGGGGCCCTTCCAGGATCAGGAGGGCGAGTTTGGGAGTTTGTGACCGCAGCAGCCAACAGCGGCTGGCTTATTTATTATGCGTCGTTGTGTTTTATTATCCCCCGGAAACTAAAACACCTGTGCTATCTGATATAGCAACGACCCAGGCCAAATCGCACGTTCGCGTCGATTCAAATGCTTCTTAATGAAGTGTACACATTTGTGTGACGGGGAGGAGGATGACGAGGAGGAGTAGGAATGTGTGTGTTTGCTTAAGAGTTCGGATTGGTGACGAGTGGGACAAGTTCTATTTTGGAAAGTTCCGTGGCCGCTGCCGCTCGCTGCCACCCACGTGAAGTGTCATTCGCTCGCGAGTAATTGGTGGTGCGAGATGCGCGCGTTCGTGAAGCGGCAGAGCCAAACGTTCGCGCTAATTGCAAGGGGGAACGCAGCTCAGAGCATCACCACCCGCGCCATTATCGGCTCGGGAAAACAACATTCACTTGTAATCATAATAATACATCGCGCACACCAAAAATATAAACAATGCAAACGGTTACGGATTCTAAATGCATACATACCAGCAACGAGGGAGGGTACATGTAAAAATATATATATATTACAGCACACGGACCAATCGGTGGGTAATGATGTCGAGCATGGCGAGGTGTGATTTCAATTTCAAATGGTCCCTATTCACCGGCGGCTGAAAGGAGCCACCCATCCTAGCCAGAGCGCACGACTTACAGCCACACACACACACGCACACCCTCATCACACTGGCAGATTCACAGCAGTCGCGCAAACAATCACGGAGGAAAGACTCCCAGCAGACGCGCACACACTCAAGAAAGACAGCAGACGCGCACACACTCACGCACGGAGACTCACATCAGACGCGCACACGCGCACGAAAGAGAGCACACGCGCACACACTCACGCACGGAGACTCGCATCAGACGCGCACACACGCACGAAAGAGAGCACACGCGCACACACTCACGCACGGAGACTCGCATCAGACGCGCGCAGACACCAGCGGGGGTTGGCGGCAGGGGGGGTGGTGGTCCTCTTCATCCGCCAGGCAGACACCGCGCGCCTCGCGTGCTCACTGCACGAGTCGGAGCCTCCATCCACTCGCTCACATCCACCATCACTAAACGCGCTTGCTCGGCATTCTGGCGTAGTTTTATTGTCTTTGTTGTGATGTTTATAGCATTAGAAATATAGCATTTCTCATTCTCGTCTTTTTTTTTTCAAATTTCTTTCCCCTCCCGTCTGCAACGTAATTAAAAAAAGGAGTACACAAACAACCCGGATGAAATAGAGGAACCGAAAATGAGATTGGAGACACTTGCACAGTGTGTCGCGGAATAAGATAACATAGGCTGCAGTAGTGTAGCTCGTGCAGGGTCTACGGTAGAGATATCGCGTGGAGGACGAGGTAGGCTCATTGAGATATAAACAAGACAGGCAGGTAGGTAGGCAGGCACGTGGGTAGGCAGGCAGGCAGATACAGGAATAGGTGGCAATGCGCGTGGACGAGAAGGCAGAGGGGCCCGACTGCGACTTGGCCCCGCTGTGATCTGGCATCTGGGATGCGGATGAGTCGTCATGCGGGGCTCAGCCTGTGCCTCCCGGCTGCGCGCCCTGCTGCCCGCAGCGCTCTGCTGCCTGGCGGCGCTCGCCGGCGAGAGGTCGTGGGGTCTCCCCGCCGGACTTGGCTCCCAGGGGCACAACGGGTCGGCTCCCTGCACTGCGCCGGCCAGCAATGGCACCAGCAGAAGCAGCGCTGCGCAGAACTGCTCGGGTAAGGGAAAAGGATTCCGTGTTAACCACGCTGCAGTCAACGGCGCGTGTTCATCACAGGACCCCTCAGCAGCAGCAGCCATCTCTCATACACACACACAGTAGTGCATGTGCTGCTGCTGATGCTGATATGCGTGCCGGTGATACAGTGTGCGCTTTGCTGCGGGTGTGTGTGTGCTGATGCGCTCTGCCCGCATGTGCAGGCAGCTTCGTGGCTCTTCTCGCTGGGGCTTATTTCGCGTGAAATTCCGAAAGAGGATGGCGCAGCGTCGTGGAGTATTCGCGTCGGGGTGACGCGCACTTGCATAGCCCGCAGCTCACTGAGAAGTGCACGTGTTTACTCTGCCAAAACGCATACAGATAGTGCGTACTGTTGTACGTGTGTATGTGCTTATATGACCAGCAGAATAATACGGCGCTAAGTGCATGATATTTTTGCCGTTTGTGAGTGAGTTTCATTGTTTGGTAAATGTCATTAAATGTCCACTTGACAACAGATGACCTTGCTCGATATAGACAATGCATTCTAATTACTGAGATGGGGTATTTAATCAGCCAAACATTTGCAATCCGAAAGCTTTCGTTGCAAGCGTGCTAATCACTCGCCTCTATGAACCAGCAACCTCGTTATCGTGAGCGTCATCAGCAATGCATGCCCAGTGTTGGCTCGCGACTTGCGGTGCGTTTTTAAAGAGGAAAATCGAGGTGGAGGATACATTTACAAATCACTCGTGTGACCCTTCATTTGGCTCCGCTAACATGGCCACATATTCACCTTGGTTTTTTTTTCTAGCGTAATTGAATAACAGAACATTTTCACACATTGACTTGGCTCCCTTCATACAATGGTGCCAATATCTACATCAATCACAAAAGCAAAGGAAGGGGGTTTGAACCTGGGAATGCCCATTCCTCCCTGTAACAGCCCATCCACTTATCACCATACCCCTATTGTTCTTAAACATCGAGATGACCTCGTAATGTGGGTAGCAGTGCACACTTTATGGACGTGTTCATTGTCGGTTTTGCTGTTTGATTATAACAGAAATTATTCATGTTTCCACTAGTAGATGAGTGTTTTCCTTCACCGGCAGATAGATACATTTTCTCGCTGGTTGTTATTATGGACACAAGCAGGATTGGAGCAAAACGCTCTCTGGACTGGGTATACGAGACAATCAGTTCCCATTCTGCTGGGGATAGAGATGATGGTTAAAGAGCCACTCTTGCATCCATTGTGGAATTCGGCAGCCGAGCGACCTTAAAATGTACTCCCACAAAACCATACAATACCCTTTGGCAATGAGACCTCGTGGCTTTCAATTGCATTTAAATGCATTAAAGCTGCAAACAGTAAATGTACGATTCCAAAGTATATCTTCATAGTTTTGACATGCAAATTAATGTGCTATGTTTGGAATTCCGTATTTATTATGATAGATACTGCATATATCGTATATACAGCAATACACCAATGGTAAATAACAAAATATTGTGTTGCTATTAATAGCGGTATGCACATCAATTAGGACACACAGCATAATGCATGTACACACTCATAACACATACTTTTATATGTATGTGCTGGCACGCTGCTTTTGAAATACGGTAATGCTCATATTGATTGCAGGCATTGTAATTTTCATGCTGAGGAATCCAGTACCATTTTTGTATTTCCGTGGATTTTTGCCTGCCTGAAAAAAAATAATACCATGGGTATACCCCTAGGAATGCGGTTGTGTGTGTGTGTATAAAGGATCTTTCCGCAGGCACGTCTCAGGGTTGCTGGCTATACTGCGATCTGACACGCACGTGTGTGATATCACCGATGTGTGTGTAGCCTTTGCATGCAAGATTAAACAAAGGAATATCCACGCCCATGATACACAAGCAGCCTACTGTGGCTTGCAGCCTCGCGTTTTTTTTCCCTATCCTCCCCGAATGATACAGATCACGTGGCCACACGGCTCTTCCCAGTGGAAGAAATGTCATCTGGAAATGTCAAGTCGTTTGAAGTACATAGGCTAGGCTCCACACTGGTGGCAAAATCAAGGCCTGGCCTTAAAACAAAACATTACAGGAGATAAATATATGTTCAGTACTTGCAATTGTGTTATATCTTCAACTCCTATCGCCACGTTTTAAAAACATAAGAATGACTGAGGCATCATTCCATGATGAAGATATTTAATTTTTGTGCAAAACCTTTAGTAAAAAGTGAACGTGATTTTCTCCCGAGTCAGTGGTGGTGATTCAAGTTTCCTATGACAAGAGGGATTATATATACTGTATAGCACGGACACTGTTAACTTCCCCACAAAGTGGTATCTATTTTATCGACCCTGGATGGGATAATGGACTGAGTTAACCCTCATCCAGGAATTGAATTCTCAATCGTCCGATTGTGTAGACGCTCGCTCTATCATTGAACCACCAAATCAGATTAGTAGATACATCAGCTACAGTAATGTCGTACCAACAACTGGTCTCACGTCTTTGCTGATGTCCACAGTTATAGCACGTGGTCCAGGAGAAACAATTGACATGAATATTTACACACCCATTAGTCTCTTTATCACATATACAGGCAGCCTCCGAGATACGAACGTCCGACTTACAAACATCAAGCACTTATGAACGAACTGCCACGAGATGTTGTTTTAACCATCTGACTTGCGAACGATCAGTCGTACTTACGAACCAAACCATGGAACTACTTTGTTCGGCGGAGTGATCATTCGCGAGATTGTAATGAGTCCCAGAATCCCGCGTGATGCACAACGACAGTGAATCATTCATCACCATTTTGCGTTCAGCACATGTTGTGCTGTTCGTGCTATTATCGCATACTTTGTGATATCTTCATTGCCCTCATCATGCCTGGGAAAGTGAGACTAAGGCACGTGATGCTCGTGCATAAAATAAACGCTGCACCATTACGATGGAGATGAACTCGACGTAATAAAGCGGTCTGAGAAAGGCGAAACTCCTATGAATCTTGGACTGCATTATAACACTGATCGTATGTAAATGATAAATTTAGTTTTGAGATGCGAACAAATCGACTACCGAACGGTCTCAGGAATATTACACGTTCGTAAGTTGAGGACTGACTATACGGTTTTTTTTTTTACGAATATCAGTGGGAATATAATTATGGTCAATGTAGAGGGCACACAGCCACATGAGCTATTCAGTTTGAGGAAAGGTTTCTCTACCACTGACCACATATATACTATCAATTATATTCTGGAAAGGCAAATATCAAATACCATGATTCGTAGCCTGTGTATTTGACTCAGTGGATATCAATGCAGTCGTCCAAGTTCAACATAAACCAAAACGAAAACAAGACATTTAGAAACGATAAAAAAACATTTGTAAAATTAGACGGCGATATCAAAGTGGCTTGAAGAAAGTAACAACACACGTGTTACATAGGTAGTCATTCAAAGAGACACGCTTTCATGAAATGTATTCACAGCAACTTTATAAGATGTTATTTTGCAAAAACTGGATTGGAGAATTATAGGCATAGAGATAAATGGGGAAAATATTACACATTTAATCTGTTATGATAAGTAATTTAAATAACCAATGAAAATTATTGAATCAATTAATAAGTAAGGCTGCAAATTTGGGCCCAAGATAAATATGAGTAATACACAAAAGCCTTTTGGCGTCCTCTGGTCTAACACCGTTTGAGACGAGGCTCAAAAGAAAGCTGTCTCTGGTGTGGACCAGTCAGTTTCAAAGATAATGCATATCTTATCAGAGTTTTTTTTTCTTGGTTCTTTCGGTAAAGTCACATAGAATGGAAATAAAATAATAAATATAAAACAATAAAATAAAATTCTCACGACGTTTCGGCCACAACACAAGTAGCCTTCCTCAGGTGAAGAAACAGAACTGTCCGGAAGACAGCGCTTGAGTGAACACTGCCAAGCATGGACAGCGTCTTTTAAGCTGTGTGGGAGGAACAGAGCGCCTTGACAAAGGAGTTAACATATAAATTAGCATGTTAGTATGAGGGACAAGCTTGTGTTCAGACGGACGAGTCCATCTATGTTCGGAACGGAGGAGGGGGGGGAGAGGAGGAAACAGCCACGCTGCGCTGCTCTGTCCTGTGTTGCGGACTGCAGTCCATTCACTAAAACTGCCTCTTAGTACCTTTCACACGACGGTCAATGGTATGGTTTATAGCATGTTGTATAATAATAAATAGTATAACATTGTAATGTTTAGCATAATTCATAAGGCAATATATAGTATCGTAATTGTATAGTGAATATACGGCAGTGTGGTATACAGTAGGGTTGGTAGAATACGACATAGTGTAATATTAAAAGTCTAATATTTTATAGTCTAAAGTATAGGGTAGTGTATAGTAACGCATTGTATAATTCAAGGGTGGGATTTGTCTATAGATACGATATTATACCATGTAGTTTAGATTGGAAGGTATAATATTGTTTTGTATAGTAGTCCAGTTTATAGCATAGTTATAACGCAGCACAGGACAGAGCAGCGCACCGTGGCTGTTTCCTCCTCTTCCCACCCCCTACTTCGTTCCGAACATAGATGGACTCGTCCGTCTGAACACAAGCTTGTCCCTCATACTAACATGCTAATTTATATGTTAACTCCTTTGTCAAGGCGCTCTGTTCCTCCCACACAGCTTAAAAGACGCTGTCCATGCTTGGCAGTGTTCACTCAAGCGCTGTCTTCCGGACAGTCCTGTTTCTTCACCTGAGGAAGGCTACTTGTGTTGTGGCCGAAACGTCGTGAGAATTTTATTTTATGTTTTATATTTATTATTTTATTTCCATTCTACGTGACTTTACCGAAAGAACCAAAAAGATGAATCCCTGCAGTCACCAAAGCTTTAAATCGAAATATATGTTTTTTGTTTGCATGCTGACCACAAGTATTGTGGTTAATGCAGACATGATTCCTTGTAAAATGTTTCAGTTTGGTGTTTTAAAATCTTAACACCTGATT